AAACTTTCCCTTTCCCTCATGAAATGTTTAAAATTTACTAAAGGGAAAGTATATTATATCAGCACCATCGCAAATTTTGGGAGGCTCTGGTTTTATCTTTTATTATTTCAAATCTCAGTATTTTTAGTATCATTTCTTTCCCAAATAAAGAAAACTCCTTATCGAATTCTTTGCCTTTTGAATGGACAAAGTTGTTCAAGGACCTAGTTGAATATACATGTGTATTCAATCTCATTGACAAAATCCGTTTGGGAAAGTATAGAATGAGACTATTTACTTTTGGTACAAGGTGGTCACATTAATCTTGACCATTTGATGTAAAATTGGGTGGTTGTAATTACTCTATTGACCAAGCTCAAACTTGAAAAGAAATTTTTTCGAACTCTGTGACACATCCAAGCTATCAAATTTTACATTGGATAGTAATAAGTAATTGTGATAACCGTGCATCAAAGGTACATGGTCTCATTGTATACAATCCCAATCCGTTTTTTTTTTCTTTTTTTGGTAACATTAAAAAAAAAATTGCTTTTTTTGATGACTTTACCATTCTTGAGATCAGAGAATCATAAAAAATAACTATACCTCAATATTTATCGAATAACAAAACTTAGAAGTTTTCGACAATTATAAATATTTCATCAAGAACTCAATCACTCTATACATATGAAAATTTGTAGGGCTCTCGATAACCTCTAGATTACAGAACCGGGAATCCCACGCAAGATCGTGTACATGATTAGCTAAATGTGAATTGAGTGCGAGCAATAAAGCAAACACAAAAAGCACACCACCACAAAACATAATTTACGTGGTTCATCCCGTAGGGCTACATCCACGTCCTCAGCAAATATAAATCTACTATCTCAATGAAGATTACAGTTTTGGGTTACAAGAGATAATACCTATATCTAAACATTGATAAAAGACCATCACCAATCTTTCCTTCTAAACCTGCTCTCCCGACCGAACAACACTGTCAATTTCTATCTTCTTTCCCACCGTAATACCGCTATCGAAAAGATAACCTCGAAAGCAATCGAAATATTTTCTCTCTCTAGAAGTGAAAGCCTTACAACCCAAAACCTCTCTCTCGGAAGCCATGTACCTCTCACTCTCTCTTGGATACCCATTCCATATTGGAGATCCATTCGCATAACCCCCAAATGGGTGTCCCTAAAAAGATAGGTTACTATGTCTTAGTTTTTTATATGGATATCACTTTTTTGTTTTTCAAAAAGATCCATCTTCATTTTACCATAATGCCCTTAATTTTTAAAATAAAATATCGGTATGGTGATTAACAATCCCAACAAAATTGAAATAATGTAGATGAAGGGTGATCCATACCTTCACTACACATAACAAATCACATGAAGGATGCATATTCCATGCTGTAGTAATTTCATATCTTAATGAAAGTGATTTAATTTTTATTTGTCAAACTCTTCCCCAGTTTCATTTAAATCATATGAATGCATAAAAAAATCAAAATCAAAATCTTACTTTCCGCAACATTTTAAATCATAAAAACATTTCATATTCACATCAATACCAATTACACAAATTGAATACTAATATATGTAATTGACTAACTTCTATAATTTTATTAATGGATGAGGTTTATATAAGGTGCTTCTCTTAAACAGTAGAAGTAAGATAAAGCTTTAAATTTTGCTTGGAGATGTAGTTTTGGTGACGGAAACCTTATGATCAGTGAAAACTCTATTTCATCCCTAGTTATGAATTTTAAAATTTCAAAATAGTAAAGATTGAACAATTTATAAACACTTGAAAATCATGAAAATAGATGTTCGAGAAAACTGGTTACAAAATACACTATTTTTAAAACTTCAATTCTTATTTATTTATTTATTTATATCCATACATCTTAAGGTCTAGATGAACAATTAGAGGCTTTCCCAACCCCAAAATACTCTCTTCTAGAGTATTTTTGATATGCACCTTACTTCAAACTATAAGGTTGGCACTTTATATGATTTTTTCTTTAATTGAAAATATGAAAAGTTAAATAAGGGAAAGTATATAATGAGACCATTTATCTTTTTGCACAAGGTGATCACAATTAATCTTGACCATTAGATGTGAAATTGGGTGGTTGCATTTATTTCATTGACCAAGCTCTAAGTTCAAAAGAAATATTGTCGAACTTTGTGACACACCTAAGCTATCAAATTTCACATCGAATGGTGCTGAGTAATTGTGACCTTCATATACAAAAGATATTTGTATACAATCCCTTTAAATAAATTAACAATTTTGTGATGTTGATGTTAATTTGAAGGTATTTGGCTTTAATATATCTCTAATTCCCTTTCCACATCAATTAATTTGAATTTTCTCTCTATTTTTCTTTTCACATCTGCCTTTACTTATCTTTTTTTAACACATCAATCTCATCGACATCTTTTGGAAAAATATCACTTAAAGGGTTGAAACCACTTAGAAAATCATTAAAATAGTCAAATGATCCCAATTAACATTTGAGGTGGTACTTTTTCTTTTTCATTTCATTTTGGACCTTCTTAAAAAATTCTTAAATTGTCTTGATTTAGGATTGGGAAGAATAATCGGGGCATTTTAATAATTTGACCCTCATGGGTGAGGGGCAAAATGCCAGTAGCGTGGTCATGGAAGAGGCAAGCCGTAATGATCCTTGTCCTCATACAAAATATTGCATCTAAGGCATCTTTTTTGTCGAAGAATTTGCATGTTTTTCTTTCTAATATTTGATGGTTTTGCTTCAATTCCTAAAATATTTGATGGCCTTTTTTGGATATTTCCTTTTTAATTTTGTTTGGGCAAAAAAAGCTCGATCAAAAGTGATAAATTGGATCTAGAGGTTTAGAATATATGTTTTGTGAAATCTCTATGCTACAAGAAACTTGTTAAAACTCTCGGTCTAGAATATATGTTTTGTGAAATCTCTACGCTACTAGAAACTTGTTAAGACTCTCCGTCTATTGGAAAATGGTATACAAAAATAAAATGTAGGGGATATATTTTCTTTTTTTAGGAAGTGGCTAAATAAAATGAAAAGATAAAAATAACCCCTAAATTATTAATTGAGATTATTTGACCCCTTTAATGATTTTTTTAACGGGTTTCAACCCTTTAAATGATATTTTTTCCTTTTTTTTATCCTCAAAAAAGAAAATTAGGTGATTCCCCTATATAGAAAATGTATACCCTATTAAAAATAAAAACATTTGGATACACCAATTATTGTAATAGAGGTTTAAAAACACATATTGGTAATCTGGATTGTCCATCCAGATAACTGGTTTGGATAGAGAACCATCCAATAATTTTTTTTAAAAACCATAGAATTTTTTTAAAAAAATATTACAAAATAAAGTGGGAGCATTTCTCTAACAGGACTGGTTGGTTTTATTAGAGAACTGGCTAGAACCAATCCATTCCCAAAAGTAACCAGTCGGTTCTTGATATTTTGGTAGAACCGAACTTGTCCCTATGATTATCGATCTAAACTAGCCAGTTTTAGTCGGATCTTCCCTTTTTTTTTAAACCTTAACTGTAATCACAGATATGAAAATTACATAAACTTGTCCATAATGTATGTATATTAAATTTTTGTTTCAAAACGTTCATTAAAAGGAAATTTTTTATATAAGGTTGCAGCCTTAAAATGTAGAAATAACGATGCACCTCAAAAACCTATCATAAAAGGTTGTTTTAATTTTGAAAAACCTTTTAATTAAAAGAAATTTTTTTATATAAGGTTGCAACCTTAAAATGTAGAAATAACGATGCACCTCAAAAACCCATTATAAAAGGTTGTTTTAATTTTGAAAAAACTTTTAATTAATCATCTCGACATCGAGATGTATGAATATGAAAAAAAAAAAAAGATTTTTGAGTTTTAGAAATAGTGCATCTTTCAACAAATTATCTAGAGTATCAATTTTCAAAAAATTTCATATGTTTATAGATCTACTTGATTTTAACCATTTTTGGAGTTTAAAATTTTATAATTAGATATGCAAATAGATTTTCAGATAATCTTAAGAATGTTTTTTATATCAAAATTACATTTTATGACAAAATTTGAAAATGCACCTTAATTGGTTGGTTTAAGGTTGCAACCTTATAGAAACCACGGCCTTATTAAAATACCATCAAAGTTAACTATTTAACATTGACACGGTTTCTATGTGGCCAGCCCGCATATTGTAGAAAAGCGGGCTTGGCAATAAATATATATTTTTAAATATAATTTGATCCTAATATTTAGAGAATATATAATCTTTAACACGGAGATCATGAATATGATTTTTTTTAAAAAAAAAACTAGAAATAATAGTTACATTAAGAAAACATTTGGACTGATAGTTACAATTGTTTTTAGATGGACTACCTATTTGCATCTATCTATAATTGGATGCTTTATACCTTTGTAACGTATATTGTAGAAATGCAGTCCAACCTTCATAAAACAACTTTCCTTTAACATTTTACACGAATCCTTTAACTTAATTTCTAAATACCTATAAAAATATATGATCATGACTTGGAAGATATACAAATACTAAATAATTTGTCTCTTATATGTTTTTTAATAAAAATACTGTTTTTATAAGATATCAATTTTATACTATTAAAATAAGACACATATTAAAAATCCTCAAAAAGAAAGTGTTCTGACATCAAAAAATCTTCGAATTGATTATCTCAACATTGATATATATATGGATATAAAGAAAGGAAAAAAAAAAAGAAAAGAGTTTCACATCTTAACAAGTTATTTGAAATGTTTATTTTTTACTATTCGCTGATCTATTCAATCTATAAATTTATTTTCTTAAAATTATAATTTTCATAATTAAAAATGAAAATAGATTTTGAAAGCAGTCGTAAGGTTTTCAACACAACTATAACTCCACAGTGCGCCTTGCTTCTACGGCATAAAGTCACATATAAACCTCACCTTTAATAAATGGCTGAGACTTGTATAAGGCGCCCTCCTTATACTGTAGGAGAGGAGCACCTCTAAATTTTGACCCCAGATAGTTTTGGTTTTAAAAACCTTAGACCTAGTTACGAAATTTTATATTCTAAAAAAATACAGATCAACTCGGAGGTACAGGGCGTAGAGAGAGAAGGGGGGTTTGGAGCTTTGAGAAAATGGTGGAGGCGAACGGAGGGGCAGTGGAAGCCCTTTCTCCCACTAAAAGAAGGGCTCTTGTATCCGTTCTCTGCAACCGCCTCTCTCTAGACCAGCTAGTAATCACACTATCATTTCCTCTTCTATTGCTGTTTCTCTCTCTATCTTGTGAGATGGGTCCTCATCACTTTTCATGGTAAATTGTATTCTCTACTTGAAAATTGCAGATGGAAGTCTAGGTTGATGCCTGCAACTTTTTTTTGATGTTCTTCCACCCCTTATTTTTTGATTTCTAATTGCATGAAAGTTTTTAATGTGATAATTTTAGCTCTCTGTAATCATCTCGAAAGAAATCTGACATGCATATATCTTCATTGAAGTTGCCTTAATGCATATTCGATTGCACTGCCTTCGAAATCATGAATCAGTGATTGAGTATAATGTTTGGAAATCTTCTATTGTTGCATATTGAATCACGACCTGCATATTATATTTCTTGTTTTATAACACCATTAAGATTCCTATGTTGTTCTTCAAAATGGTTCTGGATTGTCCATATTTTGACCTCTTCAATTGAGTGATTTTGTATATATTTAAGTATGGTAGGTTTTTTTAGTCGTTGAGAAACAAGGTTTTAATTTTTCAAATGGGTGGTAAAATTGTAATCTGAATTAGTAATATTTGCTGTTTAAATTCAGTTTGAATTGGCAAAACGATTTTCTTAATCACTTGAACTTGTCCAATGCATGTGATATTGCAAATGAAAAAGTGAGCTGATGCTTCTTTTTTTTTGTTGGAATTCTACGGTATTTCTAAAATTTGTAACCCCTTTGTGTGATTGCTTGTAACTTGTGTTCATAGGCTACCTTCTCTGTACAGGAATTGGATGGCAATGATGTTAAAACTTTATTCTCAAATATTTTGGAGTTACTCAAGAAAAAGGCATCACCCGAAGGAACAGAAGAGGTGGCTTTTCCAGTTTCAGTTATGATCATGTTTTCCCACAATTTATTTTGTATTGAATATCGTTACCACTACATTATACTCAATTTCTTTCTGTACTAAGTATTTTGGTTTCTTGTGATAGGTGAAGAAATGGATAGAATTTGGATGTAGGTTTCTTGATGAAACTCAGTCTCGCCATAAGATGCTAAAGGACTATAATGAAGAGATGGCCCAACGATCGGTTATTCTTGGAGATGGATTAAAACCTTCAGATGTGGATGTTGTAGTGTTTTGTGCCCTACATTCTTATATGGTAAGTGATGTATAAATGTCATTTTGTGGTATTCCTGCTAGATCAAATATTTTTATTTTCTTTTTGTCAAGAAATTTCAAATATTTTGATTCCTAACTTGTTTAACCTTCACTTAATTGTCACCATGTCCATCGTGATTTTAGTTTGAAAGATGCTTGCAAACAACAATTCGTCAAGATTTAGCTCTCATGTCTTAGGCACTACAATATCTCAATCCAAAGACCTGTTTGTGCATCCTACTCGTAATTTGAAAACATCCTACTCAATAGTCCTAGGCTGAAAACTACTTTTGAAATAATAAACATAAAAAAAGAAAGCGAAGTTGAAAATCTTGGTCTTGGTCCGATTCAGTTGAACATGTAGTTGAAAAACTTATGCTGAAAATATATTTGTATACATATTGTGGATTGAAGCTGATTTAGCTATTACAAACCAATTTTTTATTCATGACTAAATATCTTTAGTCATGAATTCAAAAGGCCTTGTAACATTCCTTGTAATCCTTTTGAAGTTTTCTTCATGCTTGAAATAATTAGAGGAAGCTGCTATTGTTGGGATTTTTGTTGTACCATGTGTTATTTTTTCTCAGATGGCATGGTACGTTTCTCAATTGATAGGTTTACTGTGCTTATTAAATCACCAAATTTATGGGGTTATGCTTATATCATATAAAGCATATAATAAAGGATATGTGAGTAGAAAAAATGGCAGGCTATAAATTTTGTTGTTTGATCAAATAAAATATGCATTGTTGCGATTGTTACTAAAAACACCATTATTTACCTAATTTGGCATTTTTTTTGTCATCAACATCGGCAATATGTCGAATTTCTTATGGAGATTATGTGTATGCACAGATTGGACTTTCTTCATCGGAGATGATGAAGTTCCCAAATGTCGTGAGATGGATGGATTACATTCAGGTATATTATGGGAGTTATTAGACATATCTTACTAAATTAATTTGGTGTCATTTACAGAATTTGATGAAGTGGTTTGACAAAAAATGTGGTTAGAAACATCATCTTTATATCTTTTTACCGGGGATCACTCGCCAAAAATGTCTACCAATTATCTTATTGAGGAATTAGCAACGAATGATTTTGTTTTGTGCTTGCCAATTCCAGTGACCATCCCAGCAACTATATTTGTTCCTAAGTGGCCAAGATATTTAGGCAATTACAAAGTTTTGTTGCATTCCTATGGATTGTTGATATGTGGACAATTATTATGTCATTTAGAAATCATATACTTGATATTTTTCATACTTGATTTGTTTCATATTCTTATGCATCTTTTGTACAAAGTGGGAAAGTTCTAGAATAATGGAGCTTTTCTCAGAATAATGGAGCTTTCCAGGTTCCAATATTTTGCCTTTGGCGTGGAGGTTTTAATGGCATTTATAGTAATTGCTTTTACAGTCTATGATTCCTCTGCTATAATCACCATGATGTTTAAAAAGTAAAATTCTTAACTTTGCATTGCTTCTGAATGTAGTGCAAGGAAGATTTTGGTGAGGCATTTGAAAAAATTAAGTTGGCGAGGACTGGATTCCAACCCCATGTAAGTGGTTTTCATATTATTCTATGGGCTAAAATTAAATACCATGGTAGTGGCTAATTTACCTGATGGTTTGAAGTCCTGGATCATCTTAGAATGAATAGTGGTGATGCTTGTTTCCAACAAATGATTCTATATCTGTCCATTCCAATGTAAAGTTGACCTGATGCCGTGTGTGTGCATAAACAGAAACAAGTCATATTTGATTTCTGTAACTTGGGAGCATCATTTGCGATGTTGTAGCTTGATGTATTGTTGCAAAATGCGTTGCTCTTGAGAAGAAATCAAGCAAAATTGCTCGAAGGGGATGGCTTATTAGTAGCCTTTGTTCTAGTCATTTTTCTATTTAGGGGAGGTGTACTAGTATCTGGGGGACTGAGGAACCATATAGTCTGTTGGGGTAATCACCATCAGATGAATGAGAGTCAGTGATGGAGACGGCGGGACCCCACACTAGGGCCATGTTTTGTTCCGATGGATGCCACTGTCTCGCTATCATATTGTCCATCATTCATGGGATGGTGATGGCCACAACAGGCTACAGCTGTTATATGCTCCAGTGGATTATAGTAAAATCTCCTTTCCATTTTTTTAAACAATTGAAGTATGTGTATCGTTTGATGGTTCTTGATCTGTTATTCAGTACTCACGTGGTGGAGATAGATTAGAAGTGGATCGAAGTGCAAAGAAATGTGACCCTGAGGTATTTGTTCTCCCTAAAACTAGTACTTCTATCTCAGGTTGGTGACTCTGGGATTCTTTTAGTATATTTTCTCACATCCTAGTTAGACATGCTATTGCATTTTGGATAATGATGACATACAATCATGCAAATAATTCACATAACGAAACAGTTAAGTGGTTTTGATGATCTTGATTTAAATTTACAGTGATTCTGAATCAAAGGTTGCTTCAATGGATAACCTCTTAAACAAGACACTGTTTGATCATAATTACGTATTAGCCTGCAAGGGACCATCCCGTACTAAAATTCTGTTAGGCTACCAATTTCTAGTTATTGAACACTGGATATTACATATGGAATGGGAAGTACTACAATGTAATTTATTTATCTGAGCAGTTCATTCAAAGTTGTATGGTTGTGTATATCATGAATTTCTTTTCTCAAGGATTTCTTTGTATTTAGATTCTGTTGTACTACAATGTAATTTATTGTATCAGTATTTCTATGATTTTGGAAGGAACCGACTTATTGTTTTGGATATGATTTTTTTCTAAGGTCACCATGTGAAGTGGATCTGTATTTTTTACATTCAATTGTCTGTCTCTTTGTATTTGTCATTTCCAAATTTCTATGTTGTTTTATACACATATAAATCCCAATGAAGTGATAAAATTACTTTGTTGCTTGAGAATAAAGGAAAAGGAACCAGGTAGGAAGACAGATGCAGAGGACAAGAAAAAAACTCTTTCTGAGGGAAAGAAGAAATCCCAGGAGAAAGAGCCAGTTGAAAAGGAGAAGAAGAAAACCCAAGAGAGAGAGCAAGTTGAAAAGGATTTGGACGTCAATATTACAGCTCTCAATATTCAAGTTGGCCTGATTCGCAAGGCTTGGAGGCATCCAGGTGCTGATAGGTACATTGGGCAATTATTTTTGTCTTTTTTTTTTTGCTCGATAATGTTAACTTTGTATTAAAGAAACGAAATACAGTGTTCCAGGGAGAGTGCCCACAGCCTGGGTCTCTTGGCAAAAAATGTGGTATCCTCAAAAAAGAGCTCCTATACAAAAATTGAGGGTCTTATAACAATGCCCTATACAAGGATGTACAAAAAGAAAAGACAGGGGTTCTAGAAAGATGCGACTCTTAAGGATGGTAAAAACTCAAAGAACCCCAATGTACAAAAAGATAGTCACGTTCTTGCAAGCTTGAGTCCTGAGAACTACTAGGTGACTGCGACTTGTGCGATGGCTCCTTCCTTAGCTAGCTGGTCCGCCAGCCCGTTTGATTCCCTCCAAATATGTGCCCATAAGATGGCTGTATCCCTGCAAAGGTGGGAGATCTCATCAAAAATTGAAGCGAGGTACCAAGGTGGGGTTGCTATACCAACAGCCCAAGTAACTATGTTTCGAGCATCTCCTTCCTCAAGAAGAGGTTGGACCCATTCAGGATCAAACAATTTGATACCCGTGACCAGAGCCAAAGACTCAGCGAGCTGTGAGTCTGCCTGGCCGATGTGGCTGGAGAAGGTGGCAAGGATGTTCCCTTGGTGATCTCGGATGACCCCTGCAATGCCTTAGGGGCCAGGATTCCCAAGGGAACACCCGTTGAAATTGAACTTGACTGAGCCAGGTGGTGGAGGGGACCAGCAGCCAGTCTGAGAAGGTCGATGATGTTGGACTAGCAGTACATGCTGCCAATTAAGTTGGAAGGAGGAGGTGGAGATATCCTTAAATAATTTATGATTTGAGGCCCAAAAGATCACAAGGTTGTGAAGGTTGTGGAATAGAGCTGGGGCCTTGCTCTTGACTCCTCGAAAGATCCTTGAATTCTTTTCTGTCCAAAGGACCCAAATCGTGGCTGCTATGGATGCCTTCCAAAGGATCCTGCCGGCTTTGGACCAAGTTTGAAGAGTTCTGGAATGGAGGGTGGCATTACCCAAGTCAAACCAAATAGTCGCAGAATCCTGCTCCATAAGAAGGAATAAACTTTATCTTGTTCAAAATCTAATTGCCTCTTAAGCTTATTCTGATTTATTGCACAACAAACTTATCTTCTTTAAGATCTAATTGTTCAAAATCTAATTGCCTCTGAAGCTTATTCTGATTTATTGCACAGTTTGCTTGTTGAGGAGATAGACATGGGAGATGGGAGTTTGCGTCAGGTTGTCAGTGGGCTTGCAAAATATTACAGTCCCGAAGACTTGCTGGTATGACTGAAAATCAATATTGAGTTCAAGTGTACTATTATTTGATGCCTTATGGAAAGGTGCCATAGTCCATCAGGATCACTACCATCTGATGAAACAATGGATGGTGGTGGGGAGAATGGGATCTGTCAGAACAGGACACAGCTCCAATAATGGGTCTTACGCTCTCCATCACCTTCCATCACTATGGTTTCCACTTTGGATTACGTTATAGTGTACTTTGCTTAAGTTAAATATCATTATTTTTCTATTTAATTTCTGTAGTTTATTTTGTGGAATGGAGCGGGGGGTAATTATAATGCTGGTCGTTGTAAGTTGTGCTCCGATGGGTTTACAACTAGTGTACCTACACAATTTACTGTTCTTTTTATTTTTGCAGAATCGCTATGTATTGGTTGTCACAAATGTGAAGCCGGGGAAGTTGCGAGATGTGATGTCTTCAGGGCTGGTATATGCACAAAATAAATTACAAGCTCTCTTTTCTGGAGTTTAAAATAGATAATGGCTGTGAACTTTTTAGACTTTTTGATTTTCTATGTAAATCATATTTATTATCAACTGACATCAGCTATACGTTATACTATTTCCTTCCAGGTCTTATGTGCATCAAATGAGGACCATAATATTGTAGAACCTTTGCTTCTGCCAAAAGAGGCTAAAATTGGCGACCGGGTTTCTTTTGCTGGGTAATGACATGACAATTGTAGAATGTGTTGTTCTCGTGGAAAAGTATACTAGAGAGAGACTGGGAGGCCATTGGAATTATGATGGAGAGAGACTGGGAAGCACAACTGGAAAGTTGCCCATTTGATTTCAGAATGTGGGCCCCATTCTGGAGGGGTCTACTCTCTCTCCATCACTGTTTCATTGGACTCTGATGACCCTAGTGGACTATGTTTCTTCAAAACCATTTGGAATACAATATACTTTCCCATTGCTTCATAGTAGATTTGTGAAGTTCATCAGGATGATTGTTAGGTTTGGGCTGATCTTGCATAGTTTTAATTTGGGTATTTGTAAGCTCATTTGTTGAGTGATGTGTGCACAAATATTCTGGTGGCAATGAGAAGCATCTTCTTTGTACAGGTTTTTAATTTGACAAATGCGAACAGAAGATGAGATGACACGTATCTAAAAAGCAAGCAAGTGGTTTTCAATATTTTTAATGGTCATGAATGCTATTTGCTACTCTTAGTTGATGAGCTTTTAGTTTGTAGTTACATGTAATTGCATCCTTCAGTTATAGTTTCAACTTTTCATTCAGTAAATGGTTGTAGGAAACTATATATATATATATATATATATATATATATATATATATATATTATAGTAAGACTATTCGTGTAGTAGGTTAGTACGTAGTAAGTAAGGTAAAGT